TTTTATCTTTTTATCCTTATGTTTTTACCATTTTGCCCACAAATGTAATACTTTCCCCAGTGTGGGCATATGAATGGCATTCCAGAGCCAATGAAAATAATTATGTAACTATTAGAGCCTTACCATGTAAATAAATATTTTTTATGCCGGACCCTTGGGGAAACTTTTTTCTTTTTTTAACAGATATGTTATTTAAAGATATTATTTTATGAAAAGTATTTGATTTAAAAAATTACTTAATATTCTACTCTATTAGTTATAGTTAAGATTATTGAAATAATCTTAAATGATAGAGGTTTGGTTCAAAATTTATTTCGACCTTAATGTATTCTAATTATAAATTATTTTTAACTGGAAAAATGTGCAACTTAAATCCATTAAGAAATTGGACATTCAGTTATATAATGTGGAGATGATCAGAATTTAGCAAATTCACCAAAAGACTAGGCCTCATCCTTTGGTCATTTAAAAGCACCTACAAAAATTTTTTTTCTTCTCATAATAGCCTCTCTGGCTATTCTCTAACATGACATTCTAAATATTTTACATAGATATTTTAGCCATAATACACTAGTTTGATTGTTAAAATGTTTTTAAAATAAGGTTAATGTAGCCTAATCTTACACTAAATGCTTTGATAATTGAAAAGATAAAACCACACATGGTAAAACAGACAGTTCACAAAAGAATGAATACCATTGGCCAGAAAACATATTTTAAAATTTAATCATACCACTAAGTTCTGAAAAGCATGTTAAAGAGCCGATGAGAAACTGATTTTTTCTGTCTGGCCAGCAAATATTTTTATTATAATCCCAACTGTTAACGATGCTTTAAGAAAATGAGCACTATTTTACACTGATGGTAGAAACACAAATTGGTACAACTCTTGGGGAGGTAGTATGTGTTAAAAACCTTAAAAACATGCAGATCTTAGGGCCGGCCGAGTGGCTCAGTTGGTTAAGAGCTCACTCAAGAGTTTGAGCTCTGAGCAACAGCGGTTCGAGTCCAGCCCGAGCTGAGCA